ATATCTATCGCTGTAGACAACATCTTGACACAAACACTGTCCTTCGTCAAAACATATCTACTACTGTATACATCATCTTGACACAACACTGTTCTTCGTCAAAACATATCTACCGCTGTAGACATCATCTTGACACCAACACTGTCCTTCGTCAAAACATATCTATGGCTGCAGCCATCATCTTGACACTAACACTGCCCTTCGTCAAAACATATCTACCGCTGTATACATCATCCTGACACCAACACTGTAGACAACATCTTGACACCAACACTGTCCTTCGTCAAAACATATCTACTTCTGTTTACATCATCTTGACACTAACACTGCCCTCTGTCACAACATATCTATCGCTGTAGCCATCATCTTGACACAACACTGTCCTTCGTCAAAACATATCTACTGCTGTAGACATCATCTTGACACCAACACTGTAGACATCATCTTGACACAACACTGTTTTTCGTCAAAACATATCTATCGCTGTATACGTCATCTTGACACAACTCTGTTCTTCGTCAAAACATATCTATCGCTGTATACGTCATCTTGACACAACACTGTTCTTCGTCAAAACATATCTATCGCTGTATACGTCATCTTGACACAACACTGTTCTTCGTCAAAACATATCTATCGCCATATACGTCATCTTGACACAACACTGTTCTTCGTCAAAACATATCTACTTCTGTATACATCATCAGGACACTAACACTGTAGACAACATCTTAGCACCAACACTGTCTATTGGTAAAGTCATATCCACAGACCCCGTGAAGATCCGGGTTAGAATTGGTCTTCACCAACCAATGCTTGTAAGAGGCGACTAACGGGATCAAGTGGTCAGGCTTGCTGACTTAGTTAATGCATGTCATCGTATCCCAAGGCGTAGATCGATGCGCACGGTGTATTATACTGGATTGTCTGGTTCAGACCTGATTATTTACAAACCGCCATCATGTAGCTGGACTATTGCTGAGTGTGACGTTAAACATCAAACAAATCATATATCTACCGCTGTGTGCATCATCTTGACGCTAACTCTGACCTTAATAAAGTCATATCTACCGCTGTGTGCATCATCTTGACGCTAACTCTGACCTTGATAAAGTCATATCTACCGCTGTGTGCAGCATCTTGACGCTAACTCTGACCTTGATAAAGTCATATCTACCGCTGTGAGCATCATCTTGACGCTAACTCTGACCTTGATAAAGTCATATCTACCGCTGTGTGCAGCATCTTGACGCTAACTCTGACCTTGATAAAGTCATATCTACCGCTGTGTGCAGCATCTTGACGCTAACTCTGACCTTGATAAAGTCATATCTACCGCTGTGTGCAGCATCTTGACGCTAACTCTGACCTTGATAAAGTCATATCTACCGCTGTGTGCAGCATCTTGACGCTAACTCTGACCTTGATAAAGTCATATCTACCGCATTGTGCATCATCTTGACGCTAACTCTGACCTTGATAAAGTCATATCTACCGCTGTGTGCAGCATCTTGACGCTAACTCTGACCTTGATAAGTCATATCTACCGCTGTGTGCATCATCTTGACGCTAACTCTGACCTTGATAAAGTCATATCTACCGCTGTGTGCAGCATCTTGACGCTTACACTGACCTTGATAAAGTCATATCTACCACTGTGTGCATTATCTTGACGCTTACTCTGACCATGATAAAGTCATATCTACCGCTGTGTGCAGCATCTTGACGCTAACTCTGACCTTGATAAAGTCATATCTACCGCTGTGTGCAGCATCTTGACGCTAACACTGACCTTGATAAAGTCATATCTACCACTGTGTGCATCATCTTGACGCTAACACCGACCTTGATAAAGTCATATCTACCGCTGTGTGCAGCATCTTGACGCTAACACTGACCTTGATAAAGTCATATCTACCGCTTTAATTATATTTACCTCACCACTGACGTTCATTCTGATATGAAATGAACTGCTTCACGTAACAACTTGTCGAAAACAGTCACCATTGTGAAGTTATATCTTGCGAAAGGCGAAAAACACAATGCTGATGTTTCTCAAAAAATGTTTTCCAAATTTGTCTCATTTAGTTTTGGTCAATGTCAGGCCACTACTGTCGATCCTGACCACAACATTATCTGAGCGTGCGATAGTCTTGATCGCTTCTAATCCATTCCACGACCCCCTTTCAACTGCAGCGATCAACTACCTCAAGCCTCTTACACTAGCGTTCGTTAAATCAACCAATAGCTCTTATTTGAAACACACATGCCCTGTATGACCTATAACACAGAGGGGGGGGGGGGGGGGGGGGGGGGGGCTCGTAGTTTAAGCGTTCGATCGTCACGCCGAAGGCTCGTGGTCGATTCCCCTATATGGTACAGTGTGTCAATCAATCAGCGTTATATTCACATTCATGTAAAGCAGTATGGAGAGAAAGATACATATTCTACTAAATCAATGTATCAATGTAGATATGTGAAGCCCATTTCAGGTGTCCCCAACAATAGCGGCGTAAAATCATACTCAGTCATTGACTCACTATAACAGAAAAGTAGCTACTGTGTCTTTAGGCGTTATAAACTTGGTTTTAGATTCGTTGGGGTCATATCGACTTCAAAGGATGAAATTCACGGACATACAATAGTCAACACACATAACTCTTAAAACACGTAACGTTTATCAACATTGTAAATAAATATCTCATCCTCGTGTACTTAAACAGCGAATTGTCTCAAATTCACTTTGGTATATAGCGACTTCAAGAAAAATGGACGAACTCGTGCGCTTATGACGTGAAGATCCGGGTTAGAATAGGTCTTCAGCACCCAGTCTTGCCGTAAAAGGCGATTATGCTTGTGGTAAGAGGCGACTAACGGGATCGGGTAGTCAGTCTTATTGACTTGGTTAATGCATGCCATTGTTATTCCAAGTGCTTCGACCGATGCTTATGATGTCAATCACTGCGTTGTCTGGTTCAGACTCGATTATTTACAGACCGCCGTCATATAGCTGGAATATTACGGCGTTAAACAACAAACAAACTATACTGCCATGCTTTAGGCCATTCAAGACAAACATTGGTACAACCTACCATATATCAGGCCCCGTTAAACCTGCATTCCGGCAGATAACGTTTGAAACCGCATGTACAAAAATATATATTAACTTTACTCTGTCACCATATTTCGTTAACCTTGAATTACATCAATACGGACGAGTCCATTGGGAACGACAACGTCGGCTTGAAAGGGGTTTTGCTGTACGTGAAACGGACGAACTATAAATAGCAGTCCTAACGTCAATTTCGAAATACAATCACCACCGATAAAACCCTGAGAGACTCTGACAGTGAAATTTCTTTGATTTGATTGTCAAACATGGGAACCAAATCAATACTTTCTTGCACATCACATGTGCAAGAAACAAAGAGAACTGACACCAGCGAGACCTCCACGTGACTCAGATACCTCGGTACCAATAACCGCCGAACCGCACTTGCCGGTGCCCTAGAGAATCCAAAGGCGATATGGATGATTCCAGCTTGTACTTCGGTGGACTGTTTCAACCCTGACGGCAGTGTAGTCAGCTTACGACGACCCCAATTAGCCCAGGCCAGCATATACCACAGGTCAATACAACGAACATGAAACAGACAGGACCATGTAGCAAACCATCAACCTTGAGCCCTGCGAGTTGGCCGTCATTGAAAAGATGATAACGTTTACTCAGTGTTGGGTTGACCTTGGACATTTACCATGCCATTTATTTGACAAAAAGCTTGATTAAGCAATCATTTCCGTCAATGGAGCTGGTATTAGAAATATTTCCAGTCAATAATTACCTAATCACAAAATATTTTAGAACAATATTCAAAGAAAACCCTGTGGAAACCCCGACAGGATAGAGCACATCAAGAGACAAAATGGTCGTGGCACTACATACATGACCCTCCCTTCATCAGAAGATTCATGATGGTCTTAGGTCGGGAGACAGACATGATTACAGCAAACCACGCATTAGCAAGCCATCATTGCCTGATGACATGTATTCTGTCTGTGTACCTTGCTGGTGTTGCATGTTGACGTACAATAAACACGAAAAAATCACATAACTCCCATTGTATGATGGAAAGCATGTGAAGGAATACCTCTTGAGAATTTGCATTGTTAATGTAAATATATACGTGTATGATCATCATTAACGGTTAATATATATAACATGGTATATAACGTATGTATTTCATCAGCCGTCGACATGTGTTCTGTATGTGAATTGCATTGTAAACACTGGGAGGAGAACGGCACTCTGTGACCATCCCACACATTGTGTGTGTAATCAAGGTACGACTGTTACATATATTCTAAATCGCAAATAACCATAATATTTGATAAGAAAACAATTGTTTATTTCACAATGGCGTTCACTACATCTGCATAATGTAAATGTTTGCAGATGTTACCACGACAAGTATTGACAACTGGTGTACATTTCAAACAATTTTCGATAGGAAGTTTGTTGTTTAACGCCGCACTGTTCCAATAGCAATATTCCAGCTATATGATGGCGGTCTGTAAATAATCGAGTCTGGACAAGACAACCCAGTGATTGATGTCATGAGCATCGATCCACGCAATTGGGATCGATGGCATGCATCAACCAAGTCAGCAAGCGTGACCACCCGATCCAGTTAGTCGCCTCTTACGACAAGCATAGTCGCTTTTTACGGCAAGCATGGGTTGCTGAAGACCTATTCTACCCCGGATCTTCACGGGTCTCGATAGGAAGTGTACTCATCTGGACAATTACTGTTAATAGAACAAAAAGAAGGTGATGATGGTTTGACATATGTGTTTGACAAGAGTCGGGTATAATATATATAGGTAGTGAAGAGATTGACAGTCATGGTACATATGTTTCTGATCTTCTGGGTACAGGGTTGAATATGGCATGGGTGTAGGGTGTAGATGGATGGGAGTTGTAAAACATCTTTGTCACTTACCTGTTCTGTAGAAGTCGATGATAGAGTTAAAAACGGCTGGGTGTCGGTCAAAGAAATATTCCTCCTTCCCGCCACCCAACAGGTGGTTCTCTGCCAGACGTGACAGGCGCGTGTTGGGCACGTTCTGCAGGGTTGACGCGTGCGTTTCGTGCCGCACGCCCCCCACGTTGAGAACAATCTCCTCGTCATCAGTCAACGACTGTCTGCGGACTTTAAGAGGGGTGTTTCCGACATCGTCCTCGTCCACTATGAAACGCTGACCATCCTTGCTACCTCGAACATACGCACTCATGTTTAAAGTTGCATGGGTAATTATCATACTTTGCCAAAGGGGCTTTCAACCTCCTCCTCCTTCTCCTCTCTACATCTGTGCGAGCCTCCTGTCATTCTGGAGCCACAGACACGAAACAGAATTTGAAGTAGTGTCGTCTGCGTCTGCTAAAGTCGTCTGCTAATGCCATCCAAGTAACGACATTCCATTCATTGACAACGGCTACAAGAAACGCTGTCTTACATCTCTCAACCTCTGTGGTTGCCGCTTTTAATAAAACATAACCGAGCCCACCATTACGGCCAATGGATTCGCGGGTCACCCCAGGTCATGTATTCTGTGAAGCACAAACTCATGAAATATTCATCCCAGTTTTCAAAGTCCACTTGGTGGCATAAGACAAAGACAAAACTCCGCGTGTCGGTTGCTCAGTATTGTACAGCTTGTCGCTGAATCCTCCGCAGCCTGCCGCCCGACCCTCCGTTTCTAAACACACTACTCTTCGATCGTGGAACTACCGTCTGAGCGGAATGAGACGATCCCGTGTAACATCGCTCCTCGATCAAGCGTAGAGTCCGGTAAAACACTGAAAGTTTCACTAAATCGTCACCATGACTACCGCCCGTTCTTGCAGAAGCACACATCACACTACCATATCCACTACCTCACAGGACCGATTAGAAAAAAACTTATGCTTACGGCCAGGAACGTCTGTGTAGGCTAATTATATCCGAGTCGACATCCACCGGCGGCAGCCTTGTACATGCTGCAGGCGACAAGGGACGCCCTAGCCTTGGTGCTCTTCCTACTTGACGACAGTAGTGTAACATCAAGCCCATTTGGGCTAATATACAGCATCCTTGACGTCTTTCTTAAATGACAGTGTGTTAGCTGAAAAGGGACACATCCTTGGTGTGTCGGGCTGTAGGACACGATGAGCTGGTTGATTAATCTTACTTGATTAGTTCATGCTCATCAATTTGAGTAATTAACATACTCTAATTGAACAATATTTACAGTTCTTCACATTGTTAGCGGTATTGTCTCGGTCTAGGCTAGGGTCTGCGTGACTGACCGGAGTAGAATTTGTCCCAAGCTCCTCATAAATGGCCGTAAGAGTAAATTGGAAACACGTGGCGATTCCAGGTTAGAATTAGTCCCAAGTAACCCATGTTGGTCTCAAGTAACCCATGTTGAGTGAGGGGACCCATATGGTCAAACTCGCTCACTTGATGGTTTGTCAGAACTGAACTTTATTTAACTCGGGTCGCTAGCAGCGGCCTTAGACATACAATTCATGTATTGATTATACAAACGTATGTACATGAAAACAGTATTACGATGTCATAAATATCTTTTCCCAGCTGTCGGATCAGGTACAGAACACAGCTGAAAATCTATACAAACATTTATGAGACATTCTGTCCTGGTTTGAACTCTATCATGATTATTTTTCATAACTTGGATAGTTTTCTCGGCTATTAAAGAGTAAATACATTTTATACATGTTCGGTTTAGCATATTAAATTATGAATGAGATGTTTCCTCTCTTCTTCAAATGAAGGACACATAAACAAACAGTGAAATGTATCTCCTATGTCATACAACTGGCAGATTGGGCATATTCTTCCAGAGAATGGTACTTTCCTCCACCTACCTCCATGCCATACGACGTGGATCCTTGCTCATAATAACGATCACCGAACCGTCTGGTCAAGATTCTACTTACATGTCTCTGTCATAAAGATGTACTATTGTTAAATGCGCCGATAACACACGCGCGCGCGCGCGCATGCACACACACACACACACACACACACACACACACACACACAGATACACTTGACTTAAAATACATGCTGAAATTGTCCTCAGTTTTGTGCACTAAAAGTTCATTTAGTATCGGCAGAGGAAGCGACAACAATGGGATGAACATCGACTAACCTTAGATAATGTACCCTAATGCGTTAGGTAACTGTCAGCGTCAGTGTGTTCACATTCCTTTCAAGTATAAATTTAGATGAGTACTGAATCCCACATCGCAAATGGAACGAAGATTTCAAAACACGCCAAGCAAGCACTTAAACGTTACCTCTTTTAACAAAAGTAAAACATTGTATACATCAGCATATATCTAATTGGCATTAAGGAGCTATATAAATGTTAGTTAAACAGCTTAAAATGGCAGGGACTCGGTTACAGAGCAACGATACCCGGACGGTCTCCAAAATGGCAATATCCCATGCGACCCGTCCCCTCTCGTTTGCATGGGGACAGAATGTATCCGCACTACCGCTTCTTGTAATGGGGCTGCCACCCATTGTTATCAATATAATTATATTATTGATATTTGCAGGTCGCTTTTTATAAACTGGAACATTGCAAACAGCTTAAAGCAACATTCACCCTCTCCTTATAGTGAGTTAATATGGTTTTATGCCACTTTCACAAATATTCCAGTAATATCACGGTTGGGGACACCAGAAATGGGCTTCAAACATTGTACACACGTGAGAAATCGAACCCGGATCTTCGGCGTGACGACCGAGCTTTTAAACCACAAGGCTACTCTCAATAATTTTGCAATAACTGGTTCCACTTTTCACAGTGAAGTTTTCCTGATTGAGGACTTAATATGATTTTCAAACGGTATATCCTTGCGTGACGCTTTCACTTTATGTAGCATATGATTGAATGATTAAGTTAATGTATCCTTCAATTCCGATATGCATTATTTTGAAAATGAAAGCTATTCTACGATGTATTAAATTCCGCATGTTTCTGGTTATGTTCAACGTTTGTGTGTATGTAGAATAGACGGACGTGTAGCAATGTTTGTGTGGAAATCCAGTTATAATTGGTACTTGAAAAGTGCTTTCATAACAATCCCGGTTGAACAAAGAAGACGTTGACGACATCACAGATGCAGCCTCAGTCAGCGGAAGATGTCGCTTCCCTTTCAAGGTCAGGTTAACCCTGAGCTGTATCTTAGAACTGCCAGATGCGTTTTTCGTATCTTAAGGCCATACTGATTTTCTTACTATATTTACAAATCAATATAATACCTCGAGCCTGACATCGCTCTTACATAATGCAGGCGAGTGGTACGATACTTCTGATTAAGAGCCTTTGAACGTGAGTGGCTTCAAGAACGGATGAGAGAATTATCAATAAGCATCTCTCACAGTGAAAGGACATTTCCTGCAGGGGTACAGTCGTTGTCAATACATGTAATGTGGTTCGTTCAGTGGTTGCAGTTGTTATTGTGTTCCAGATTGCTTATAGGATTACGACATACAACATGCGGCTGATTGATATTCCGCTGATGACAGTCATTTTAGTGCCTCTTCGCCCACTATTCCACGTTTGGTGAGCCGATGAATACAACCGGCGATGTGCTAGCTCGTGGTAGTGTGTAGCCGATGAATACAACCGGCGATGTGCTAGCTCGTGGTAGTGTGTAGCCGATGAATACAACCGGCGATGTGCTAGCTCGTGGTAGTGTGTAGCCGATGAATACAACCGGCGATGTGCTAGCTCGTGGTAGTGTGTAGCCGATGAATACAACCGGTATAAGTAAATCATCACATGTTTATGCACGAGATGAATAAAACCGGTACTGGAACAGATCACGTATTTATACATTAAATGAATACAACCGGTATACAGTAAAACATCACAGGTTTATGCACGCGATAAATACAACCGGTATATAGTAAAACATCACATATTTATACACCAGTTGAATACAACCCGTATACAGTAAAACATCACGTATTTATACACCAGATGAATACAACCGGTATACAGTAAAACATCACGTATTTATACATTAGATGAATACAATCGGTATGCAGTAAAACATCACATATTTATACACCAGATGAATACAACCGGTATACAGTAAAACATCACGTATTTATACATTAGATGAATACAACCGATATGCAGTAAAACATCACATATTTATACACCAGATGAATACAACCGGTATACAGTAAAACATCACGTATTTATACATTAGATGAATACAACCGGTATGCAGTAAAACATCACATATTTATACACCAGATGAATACAACCGGTATGCAGTAAAACATCACATATTTATACACCAGATGAATACAACCGGTATACAGTAAAACATCACATATCTATACACTAGATGAATAAAACAGGTATTGGAACGGATCACGTATTTATACACCAGATGAATACAACCCGTATACAGTAAAACATCACGTATTTATACACCAGATGAATACAACCGGTATACAGTAAAACATCACGTATTTATACATTAGATGAATACAACCGGTATGCAGTAAAACATCACATATTTATACACCAGATGAATACAACCGGTATACAGTAAAACATCACGTATTTATACACTTGATGAATACAACCGGTATACAGTAAAACATCACGTATTTATACACTTGATGAATACAACCCGTATACAGTAAAACATCACGTATTTATACACCAGATGAATACAACCGGTATACAGTAAAACATCACATATTTATACACTTGATGAATACAACCGGTATACAGTAAAACATCACGTATTTATACACTTGATGAATACAACCCGTATACAGTAAAACATCACGTATTTATACACCAGATGAATACAACCGGTATACAGTAAAACATCACATATTTATACACTTGATGAATACAACCGGTATACAGTAAAACATCACGTATTTATACACTTGATGAATACAACCCGTATACAGTAAAACATCACGTATTTATACACCAGATGAATACAACCGGTATACAGTAAAACATCACATATTTATACACCAGATAAATACAACCGGTATACAGTAAAACATCACGTATATACAGTAAACTACGGTTATAACGAACACGCTTATAACGAACTGACGGATATATCGAACTTACTTTTTGGACCCGACTATTTGCTGTAGTTATGCTGTAGATATGCTTATAACGAACTACGGTTATAACGATCTAAAATTAGTAGTCCCTTTGAGTTCGTTATAACCGTACTTTACTGTATACACAAGATGAATACAACCGGTATTGGAACGGATCGCGTATTTATACATTAGATAAATAAAACCGGTTTACAGTAAAACATCACGTATTTATACACCAGATGAATACAACCCGTATACAGTAAAACATTACGTATTTATACACCAGATGAATACAACTGGTATACAGTTAAACATCACGTATATATACACAAGATGAATACAACCGGTATTGGAACGGGTCACGTATTTATACACCAGATGAATACAACCGGTATACAGTAAAACATCACGTATTTATACACCAGATGAATACAACCGGTATACAGTAAAACATCACGTATTTATATACAAGATGAATACAACCGGTATTGGAACGGGTCACGTATTTATACACCAGATGGATTCAACCGGTATACAGTGATACATTACGTATTTATACACCAGATGAATACAACCGGAATTGGAACGGATCGCGTATTTATGCATTAGATAAATACAACCGGTTTACAGTAAAGCATCACGTATTTATACACCAGATGAATACAACGAGTATTAGAACGGGGCACGCATTTATACACCAGATGAAAACAACCGGTATACAGTAAAACATCACGTATTTATACACCAGATGAATACAACCGCTATACAGTAAAACATCACGTATTTATACACTTGATGAATACAACCGGTATTGGAACGGGTCACGTATTTATACACCAGATGAATACAAC